TGTAGTCCCAGCTACTTGGGAGGCTGAGGCAAGAGAATCACTTAAGCCCAAGAGTTTGAGGTTGCTATGAGCTGTGATGCCATGGCACTCTACTGAGGGCAACGTAGTGAGACTCTGTCTCAAAAAAAGAAAAAAAAATTGTTTTTTATAGAGATAAGGTCTTGCTGTGTTGCCAAGGCTGCTCTTGAACACCTGGGGTCAGGTGTTCCTCCCATGTCAACCTCCCAAAGTGCTGGGATTATAGTTGTGAGCCATCATGCCCAGTCCAGTTTGAAGAGTTTTGACAGATATTTACACATAAGTAGCCATCATCATAATCAAGATACAGAACGTTTCCTTCACCTGCCAAAAATTTTATTGTGCCCTTTTGCAGTATTTAGAGATGGAGGTCTTGCTGTGTCGTTCTGGCTGGTTATGAATTCCCTGGCTCAGGCAGTCTCCTTACTTGTAGTTGAGAAAATGGAGAGGTTTCAGTTATTTTTGCAAGGCAAGCTCTAGTTAGCTGTGGATCAGGGGCTTGCACTAAGATACTCCAAAATATGTACCTTTTTTGGAGTGACTTGAATAATCCCTGTTCCTTTTTTTCCCTAGATAATCATGATGTCATTTCCCTGAAGTTGTTTGAGCTGACAGTGGAAAGAACCCCAGAAGAGGAGAAGCTGCATCGAGATGTGTTCTTACCCTCAGTGGACAATATGAAGTTGCCTGAGAGTGAGCACTGGGGATCCTGGGAAGTGGTTGCGTGGTTGGGGAGGAAGTTGCACTACTACATGGGGTCTGAGGTGGCTTTCACCCAGAGCATGTAGAGCAGTCATGTTCTGTGTTCTTTATCTGAAGAATATGGAACCCACCTTCTACTTGTCTTCATGTTACAGATCAGTAGTAGGAAGGCTGCTTTGTCTTTAAATTAAAAAGGGGAAGTCTAAGCTCTGGCTCCCCAGAAACAGGTGTCAGAAACTGGGGATTGGTGGGCTCCCTGTTTCTAACTTGCCTCTCTCTTATTTCCTCAGTGACAGCTCCACTGCCACCCCTGAGTGGCCTGGCCCTTTTTCTCATCGTCTTTTTTTCTCTGGTGTTTTCTGTATTCGCCATTGTTATTGGTATCATACTTTACAACAAATGGCAGGAACAGAGCCGAAAGCGCTTCTACTGAGCCCTCATGCTGCCACCACTTCTGTGACTGTCACCCATGAGATGTGGGAGGAGCAGGTGCTGGCCTGAGCACACAGCCTCGCAGGTCTTCTCTGGTCTCCAGCAGCTGGTCAGAGACTGTTCTATCACTGGAGCTTTGAATGCAGGAACCCTGCATTCACATGGTCATCCATGGAGACATATAACTCCAGTCTGAGAAGCCACCCACCCCAGGGCAATGCTGCTGTGATGTGCCTTTCCCCGCAGTCCTTCCACAAGGAGCAAAGAAGCATGGAGAAAATTTATGCACTTGTGATGCCAGAATCACAGACCAGAATTTGATGGCCCAGGCTGCCTTGTTGTTGGACTCAGTGGACCCTTCTGCTTCATTTATAAATCCACAAAGAATAGAAAAGTGATAATGCCTCATACCTTGCAGCTGTCCATTCATTGGTTTTTGCTTTTTGCCCAAAACTGTCTACCTGAGGAACTTTCTTTGGAAACCAGGATGAAAACGTCTTCACTGCCTCACTTTTCTCTCTTAATTCCATTCATTATCCTGTGTGCACCCTGAGCTGGGAAAGACATTGAATGCCTCTCTATTGGGCCCTGGGACTGCACAACTCATTTAGTTTTACTGGCCTTCATTAGGTGGCTCTAGAGAGAGTGCTTTCTGCTTTGGCTCACTGCTCCAGCTTTTCTCTTAGATCTTTTGGTATGTCAGTGGCCTTACTAATCAAGGGCCCTTACTTATAGGCCCTCAGTCAAGTTTGGCTGAAAGTTTATGTGCCAGTCAAGAGAAGCTTGGGAGAGATCATGGATGCCATGGAATTAACTGTGAAACTGACTAGCCCCAAGTTTGATACTGAAAGCAACCCTTATCATGTGGTCTGACCTTGTATGGATGCTTTTGGACTCAGCAGAGCCTGCTTAGCTGCATGTCTTGTAGTGATGATTTTGGGAATCCCATTTTGTTGAAAGTATATGGAAGCTTTCTTCTTATATCCTGAGCTTGAATACTGCCCAAAGAGGGAATTTGGCTTCTTTTTCTTACTGAATAAGAAATAGTTGCTAGTCTCATGTTCCAAGTCTAGGAGCACTAGACCCTTATCATCTGTGCCTAAGAGTTTGTTGTCTCTGAGCAGCACAGCCTGGGTGCTGTCTTCTGTGTGTCAACCCTTATTCCACTGCCTTACCTGACAAGGGGTTAACATGCTGTTCACCTGTCTGCCCCATGATTAAGTTGGTTACAGGCTAGAATCTCCTGAAGGGCCTGGAACTCTGAGCTCTCTTACAGATCTCTGTAGCCTAAACATAATTCTTAAAATGGCTGATGGAATCAAGCACGAGCTTTTGACTCAGTGTCCTTCCTTCTAAGAGTGGGTTTGGAGGAAGGTCCAAGCCTTTTTTCTGTGCCTCAAGCCTATCAGCCCTTGCTCTGCCTTCTAGGACAGGAAAGCCCCCAGGTTACCCCATGAGGAAAGAGGGGAGTGCTTTGGCTGGACACAGGGCACTGTGTCCTTGGTTAACCACCACAGGCTGTTGGGCTCTTCTGCATAATAGCAGAGTAGTTCCAGCATGCCAGAGAACAAATTGAACTGTAAAGGTTGGCCTTGGGACCAGAGAAAACTAAAAAAAGAAAATGTTGGTTTTCTTTTTGAGTTCAAGGGGAGATTGCATGGACTTGTGTGCTAAGGAGGATCTGGGATGCCATCTTGAGATAGCATAGGCAGCAGTGCAGGAGGAGGGGGTCTCAGCTGAGGAGACAGGTGGTGGTGGTGGAGTGAGAAATTCAACCTGTGGGGTTTGTGTGATACTAGCTCATGAGTACATGGATGCTTTGGGGTTTTTTTGGAGACAGTCTCAGTCACCTGGGCTATAGGGCAATGGTGTCATCACCAATCACCGCACTCTCAAACTTCTGGGCACAAATGATCCTCTTGGCCTCAGCTTCCCGAGTAGCTGGGACTACAGACACACACTACCACGTTTCTCTGTTTTTAGTAGAGATGGTGGTCTTGCTCTTGCTCAGGCTAGTCTCCAACTTCTGGGCTCAGGCAGTCCACTCACCTTGGCCTCCCAGAGTGCTAGGATTACAGGTGTGAGTCACCACACCCAGCTGACTTTAGAGCCTCTTAGTGTGAAGAGACCATGTGGACTAGAGGTGATGCGTGAAGATCATATGACTTCCGTCCCTGTGAGTCTTGTCTTAAGGGCCAGTGTTTTCAGCCTTTCATATTTTCTTCAGCCCCCCCAAATTACAAGGTGGCTCTGTTATAAAACTTGTTTATTTCAGCGGAAAATTACAGCTCTGCTCTTCTTGTTGGAAGTGGTTTGTGAACACAGTAGCCAGGATATCTCTAGGTCCTTGCTTATGTCCCAAAGACAGAAATGAGGAACAGGTAGGAAACCCAATGGCGGGGCAAAAAGCTAGGCAAACATGGGAGAATTAGAGCTGGAAGTTCTGGGAATAGTTCGGTCTCTTAAGTTTCAACCCATGGTCTGTTAGGTTCCGATTTGATGTTTGGAGAAAGGAGGAGTTGGCGTTGCTGGAGTTTAGTGGGGTTATGATGTTTACTATTTTAACGGGAGGATATAGCCGAAGGTCAGGTTTGATCCACTTCATGGCCAGATAGTGCTAAAGAGAATAGACAACAGTTAGCCTGAAGTAGCAACATGCAGGTGCTTTCCTAAGAGTCATCTCAGGACCAACTAGTGTCTTTGTCCCTGTCACCATGGTTGCCACTCACCGGAGCTGAATAGATAAAGTTGAACAGCAGAAGTGCTATAAGCAGTATGACCACAAAGGCTATGATTTTGTAGCGGTAGCGTTTGCACAAAGCATGGCAGAAGTTTAGAACAGGTAACCGCAACCATAGGAGAGTGTTCTCAGCCCGTCTATCCATGAACAGGGGAGATGCCAGGGAGTGGAGGGTAGAGGAAACATTTGGATCAAGTAATCCTGAGCAAAGAACTCTTTTTAAACAAAAACCAACTTCTGCTTACCCCCCCAACCCCACCCTCAAGTCTGTTCTCCAGATAGTAACTGAGCACAGAGCTGCAGTGATAGGAAGTAATTATCCCTCTCCACCTGCAGGCCTACTGGTCACCACCCCATACAGACTGAGGAGAAAGAAAGATTTGGTGCCTCTGCCACATACGACCCTTACAGGGGAGGATGAAGTGTAGGATATTGGTTGGGTTCCGACTGGCCTCTCCCAGCTGGCTTGATTAAAGCTTCCTTCTCTGATAGAATCTCAAGAGTCATCTTTACTTTACCCTAGGAACACCACAGGGTAAATGGGAGGCTGAGTTCAGATAGAGGGAGCAAGATAGTTTTAGGACCTCTTCCCAGGTTTCAGAAAGGTGAAAAAGGATTTAGTTAAGGTCCCTGGAAATCTGTTAAAGCCAGGTTATGTAGCAGAGCAGTCCTACTCCCCAGCTCCTACCGACAAGCGCCATTTGCCTTCATCGAGGACCTGGCAAGGCCACCAGCCAGTTACTGTCTTCTTCTTAAAGAGGGAAAAGGACTTGTGTTGGAGGAAACTGGGCCACTTGGGGTCAGGATTCATCACCGTGATGGAACACTGGTAGGCGTGCCGAGCAGGGAAGGGCATGTCAGACAAATCCAGCTCCAGGACCCCTGAGTCCAGAGAAATGCTGTCAGCAAGAAGGAGCTCCCTGTTCAATGGTCACAAGCCCTGTGCTAGGACCTCACCTAAGAAGTCATCAGGGGAGAAGATGTCATTGTCCCAGACCTGGATGATGAGCCTGGGTGGGAACTTTGTTGACGTGGGGTCCAGGCTCCAAATGTATTCCTGGAGGATGGCAGAAAAATGTCCCTTAGACACCTTAGTAGCCCACTACCCAGCAGTGATGGATTATCAAGAAAGGGTTTCAGTCTAAGGACATGTTTCTAATGTTCTAAAACAGCTTGTAGGCTTCTAGAGGGAGGAAGAGCAGGAGCTCCTGGAGCCTGAGGTGTGAGGGTGCGCACTCCATGTCCCCAGGCCTATTACCTTCTGGCTGTGGATGCACACACGCTCTGCTGCTAGGTAGTCCATGGTAAAGATGAACCGCCAGTTGAAGTTGCCCTCCCCAGCCAAGGAGTGGTAGTGGATATCTGTTTTCTGCATGTCTTCCTCTAGGCCGTATAACCACCTGGGGCCAGAGTCCTTTTACCCCAGGTTCATGTGTATTGTTCCCATCCCCAAGCTGAAGCCCTGTAGGAAGGGCTACCCAGCTGGCACCAGGCACAGGTAGAATTAGAGAGGTGTCCTCTTGGGATTTAGAATCCCCAGCAGAATGACAGAACTAGGAGATCAAGGGCCTCTGCTGGAACCTGACTCCTCTCCCTTACCCTTTGACATAGATGTCACTTGACTTCTGTCCACTTAAACTGCTATCCACCAGGTCCACGTGGGAAGTCTGCCAGATGATGCAGCGTAGCTCATACCTGCAGCCACTGTGCTCTGAGGCTTTGCTGAGGAGTAGCTCCCCAGCTGCAGCCTTAGTGAGGGAAGAGAGGCCCCAGGGGGCTGCCCTCCATGCTCTTGCTGAATTTGGGAATTTGGGGAAAGAAATCTCCCAGTAGAGCTACTTCTCTTCCCAGTAGAGAAAAGAATTACTGCAAGTAGGCATTTGAGGACAGTAGTGCTCTGTACCCAGGGGAGGCAGAACTGTACTTGGGAAATGGGCTGTCACTCACCGTTTAGGCTTTCTGGGGCTGATGTCGACTCGGGGGCCAGGAGGCCCTACCTTCTTAGGGAAGATGTCCACCCACATTTGTACCTTTCCCTAGAGCCAAGACAGATTAGCTGGTTGAGGGTTGCTAGCTTCTGTGCTCAGCAGGCTGGCCTGGGTGTTCTGTCTCAGGTTCTGACAATTTTTGAGGCTGTGTTCCCAACACTGAAGGGTGTAAGGTATAGAGGTACCAGTGAGGACCCAGTGGATCACCCACCATTTTCCTTTTTTTTCTTCTTTTTTTGGCTGGGAGAATAGTGCAGTGAGGTTAGGGCATGATGGCTTCAAAGCTGATGGTGTGGTTCTGGGATTTCACTTAAGACTGAGATTTAAAGCATTAATTCCGCTCAGCAGGTTATGCTAAATGCCCTGTCTGGACAGGGCTCCAGATTGAGATTGAGGCTTCATTTATTAAGCAGATCAGTAACCCTGAGTATGAGGAAATCAAATGGTCACTTCACATGTCCAGGTCATTTTATGATGTGTAATTACACCTAAGGATGTTAAGCTAGCCACAACATACAGAGGTCTAAGAAAGAAGATAAGGCCAAAATGCAGAGAAAAGAGGAAAAACATGAAAGGGGAGGGCGGCACCTGTGGCTCAAAAAAAAAAAAAAAAAACATGGGAGAACTGCCAACATTGGAAAACAGATATTTTCTTGGAAATTACCTGACCTAATTTTATTCTTTTGAAGTTGACTTTGTTTCAGAAAAAAAGTTGACTTTATTTGTTTATTTTTGAGACAAAGTCTCACTCTGTCACCCTGGGTAGAGTGCTGTGCCATCATAGTTCACAGCAACTTCAAACTCCTGGGTTCAATCCATCATCCTCTTGCCTCAAACACCTGGCCAAGTACCTGGGACTACAGACAAGCTCAGATGATCCACCTGCCTTGGCCTCCCAGAGTGCTAGGATTATAGGTGTGATCTGCCACGCCCCACACAAGAAAATAAGTTTAATGAGAATTTTTTTTTTTTGCAGTTTTTGGCTGGGGCCAGGCTTGAACCCGCCACACCAGGTATATGGGGCTGGCACCCTACACCTTAAGCCACAGGCACCTCCCTAATGAGAATTTTTTTTAATAAAAATGCCCATCAGAGGACTTTGTATCTAGAATGTGGTATCAACCTGAGAAATTTGGAGAATGAGATAAGCCATTATGGTGGCTGCAGGGTGAATAACAGTTAGGGTGCCTTTGGGGATTTTTATTCCTTTCTTTGGGGTTCCTGGTTGTGGAGCGACAGGCTGCAATTAACAGCCAGAACCAGGGTTATAATGTCTGTGCTGTCTGACCTGCAGGGCCACCTTCCCTCCTCTTGTAAGAGATTGAAGACAGTGACAGCAGTGGCTGGGAGGGCTCTTTAGTGCCTCCCATTGTGGGTGCATGCCTTGTTTCACTTTTTTACTTTTTATTTTTTTTGAGACAGAGTGTCACTATGTCATCCTCGGTAGAGTACTGTGGTGTCATAGCTCACAGCAACCTCAAACTCTTGGGCTTAAGCGATTTTCTTGCCTCAGCCTCCCAAGTAGCTGGGACTAGGTGCCCACCACAACGCCTGGCTGTTTTTTGTTGCAGTTGTCATTGTTTTTAGCAG